CGTCGGTTTCGACCTATGAGGATCTGCCAGCTTATTGATTCAGTTATGAAGTTTATGCGATAATATTCAGTGGAATTAAAGACCCGCTCGTGATTTACAAAAGGCCACACCACACACACACACACACACACACACACACACACACACATATATATATATATATATATATATATATATATATATATATTGCATATCTGAAGAATTAGTGGCTTTACTTTTAAGCTGGCCTTAGTTTGAAATAGACACAGTGTTTTTATTTTTATATCAAACACTGTACGTTACATCTATCGACCCGTACACGCGAGAAAAGTTAATAAAATAAGAACAAACTGGATTAAATGCTGGTTTCTCCTACAAAGATGAGCGCATATTTTTACCCTACCAGTGCGCATATTTTGTTTATTATATTTTCGAGAGCGCAGGCCGATGGACGTAATAAACACTGCATGAAATATAAAAAAACGGAGAGTCTCATTCAAACAGCGATACCTTAAAAACTAGCCATTGATGTAATAAAATATCGGATTAAAAATTAAATCGGTTGTTCACGTTTCGGACTCATCAGATATGTTCTTTTCGAGAATAACTATTGTATTAGAGTAAGTGTCCTTCCCTACACTGTCGTTTAAAACTAGCTCTCTATTGAGTTACACAGGCGATTCAAAGTAGATCACGTGATCATAAAGGAAGTGAATAAATACGAAGTAGCGTAACGATCACTGATCTCAATTTCTGCTCTATCACTACAAGGAACACTGTTCACTCTTATTGTCTATCCAATATTGCTTTACTTTCACTCGTTGTTTACTACTACTATAGGGATTACGATTTTATTCTGATCATTATATTCTTTGGCAATTACTACTAGAACAAGTGTTACTAGTGCGGATATTACTCGAAGACGTTAGTAATATATATTACAGACTTTCGAATATAATGAGCATTTTTGGATGTGATACCAAGCTTTCGCTTGACATAGCAAAAATGACAAGCAAAGCCCTCCGACATCACAAAAATGACAGAACAGAAATTGCGTATTCATTGATTAGGTTTAATAGATTCTTTATTAATGTTTGACAGGATGTATTCTTCATGGAGATAATAAAAAAAAAAACAAAAAAAAAAAACTAGCACTACGTGTTACGAACTGACATATATCCATTCACACATACATATATACTGGGTGACCCAAAAACGGGAATTTTTGAAGTGCGTATTGCCAGACATGAGCAAGTGGCAACCCTGCGAGACAGTGACATTGAACAAGTAAACATTTCGTCATTTAGAATTCAAGATGAAATTCCCAATATCCCAGCTGAGATGTTGCAGCAGTCAATGAGGAATCACAACAGCAGATTTCAAGAATGCATTCGTAAAGGAGGACGCCATCTACCGGACGTAATTTTTAATAAATGAAAATTCCATCATTGTTTCTTAAATGGCATGTTTTAAGGTTTCAATTACTACGAATAAAATATTTTCTTCCATCACTCTTGGTTTGAGAGTATTGTTAAAAAGTTCCCGTTTATATATATATATATATATATATATATATATATATATATAGATTACAGTTTCTATATATATATATATATATATAAAACTGTAATTTATATAAAATATAATTAATATTTTATATATAAAAATAAAAGAGACCATTCACTTGAATAAATTGTATCGATTAAAATGTAGCATATATATATATATATATATATATAGAGAGAGAGAGAGAGAGAGAAGTGAACATTGATATCAACACTAAAAGGCGACAGGCTGTTTCATAAAAGATGCAAAAAGTCAGCCTGACGATTGCGTCCATAATGAAACGGCCTGTCGCCTCTAAGTATTGACTTCAATGTTCACTTTCATATTTATATTTACATACGCTCCATCTCTGATATCGAGCACTATCCCATCAGTATAGCACACCTTAACATTATATTTCTTCATATATATATATATATATATATATATATATATATATATATATATGTGTGTGTGTGTGTGTGTGTGTGTGTGTGTGTGTGTGTGTGTGTGTGTGTGTGTGTGTGTGTGTGTGATCTCTGTGTACCGTACACCAATTAAAATTCCCCCTTTGAGACGCCCAAGGCGTCAGGAAATACACATCCACTCTAAGCCCTCCAGTCACAGAAATGAGGGTAGTTGGGGTGAGGAACTGCCACTAAAAGCCGTATATCAAAATTTCTATGTATGCTGCTTAAGATGGAATTATCTATGCGGGCATTTTTCATTTGCACCATACTCAATTGGATATAAATTATTCCCTCAAGAATGTTTAATATTAATTCGATATTAGTATATATATATATATATATATATATATATATATATATATATAATCATGGGTACATTAATCCCTATCACATTTCTTTGTAAAAATTTTAATTGTAGGTAATTAATTAAAATCTAATTTTCTTTCATAATTGTTTAATGATGTATTACAAGGCGACATCAAGGTATATATATATATATATATATA